ATTCACGAGTTTTTATTGAGTCAATATTATTTGATAAGAGTTATCATTCTTTATTAATGTGACGTGATCTTAATAGTAAATGTACCACTGAAGCGAGTACCTGATAGACTGTTAGCATAAATTAATTTTACTTATGCTGACATTATTTAAATCTCAAGTTAATTCGATAGGAAAATATCATTGATTGATCTAAGCAATAAGACTGTGAGTGCAGAATAGGTGACTACCGATCAAAGTTCTGGCGATAAACATACATATTTCAAAATAACTTGAAAAAAAAACTAATCGCTACTAGCAAATCAACATGAAGAAACATTGGAGAGAATCAGTAGAAAGCCTTTTACCTACAAATTGTCCTATTTGATACATTTTCAGTAAACGGATGCTGTTCTCGCGTTAGGAATTTGCATCATCTCCTACTGATCAGTCAGTATTAAAATCTCATTTCGATTGGTACTTGACTATGGACCAAATATCGCAGTATTAACGTCTCTAATTGCAACAGAGGATAAAAACATGAAATATCAGATTTCTGTTTTACACAATATTATTTATGAAATCTCACAATTTTAGGGAACTTTGACTGATGCAGAAAAGTTTTATTGTCATTAAAATATTGATTAGTCATTGATATCTTTTAACTCATGTTATTGATTCTTCGCGAATGGTTATTACTTTTACTCAAAATGTATGTGTGGTATGTTTTTAACTTTTCCAGATGTCTTAATAAGTGGAATGAATTACTATGCCTTTTGATTTCTAATCATCGATTGATTAAAAATTTATAAAATCTATTCGCGTTATATATATATATATATATATATATATATATATATATATATATATATATTTAGAAAATTAAACAATTAACCTACTCTATCGTTCTTTTCAATCATCTGGTAAAAATAAACTCTTCTTCCCATAAACTGAATGAACGAAAAGCAATTATTAATGAATGAATGATACTCAGTACGCACATTATTAGCTATTTGACTAGCCGAACTGAATAGTAGTTAGTAGTTTAAAATATTTAAATAGAATAAATGTTAAGCACGCTAAATAATCATTAATTAATTGTGTACAGACAGGCACATATGAATATCTCATTAAAATGTGAAAGTATTTATTTCTTTTCTACCTACTTCTTCAGTGTAATGTTCATAATAAAAATTATTCATTGTTCAATTTCATTTGTATCAACAATGTCTAGTAGCATAATTAAAATAAAGAAGTGTTATTTGAATAATTGATAAGTTTATGTTGCATTACAAATAATTTTTGAATAAATGATTTTGTTTTTTTTTTGTTTTTAGTAGATAAGAAAGAAAACAATAAAAACTTTCTCGAATTGTCTTCTAAAATAATTAGTTATTCATAAAAAAAATTTTTTCTAATTCCCAAAGTAATAAGACCAGAAAGTTATTCTTTGCAATTTCTGGATTTCAATGTATTTGGATTTGTAGAACCTAACTACTTTCTCATACAAAGATTAACCATTGCAATATGATCATTGATATGGAAATGATTATGCTTTAGATTAGTCCGATGAATGTAAAAAAATGTAGTTTATCTTTAAAAGGTAGACACATAGATAGAATAGATTACAAGGTTAAGTGCCACGTTTCATAAAAATATTAGAGTTTACCTAATACATTGAATGACGCATAAAATAGGCTAAGTAGACGTTTGCATTTTTTATATGAGCAACCATGTTGAAATGTTTAATTCACGATTTTATTGCCCTACCTTGCGACCCTATCACTTATGCTGATTTATTGTTTATATGTCATACGTTTTAATTCGATTATTATTTTTACTCGAAGTGCTTTATGTTAAATACTTTATTCATTGTTTATCAAATGTTGTTATAATTTAGTTATATACAAGAATGAAGGGTTTAGGTTAGGTTAGGTTATGTAGATTAGTGAAATTGTGTATGCCCCTAACCAATATAGTATTTGTTGGCCTAATTTGAAATTTCTTAAAACTGAACTGAGTAATCGAGAACTTAGGTCGCATAGTTTTACTAGTCACTCACTATATATGTATACTAACCTGTGATTCGATTGGTAGTCGTTTTATTTAGGGTCATACTTATCGCTCAATAATGCGACATAAGTAACTGATGACAATTATAATTTAGGTGCTATGACGGAGATTCTTTGGAGGACGTTAACACCTTTACATATCTAAGCAGCATCATCGACACTCAAGGTGGATCCGATGCAGATGTGAGGGTGCGGATTGGCAAAGAAAGGACTGCATTTCTACAAGTGAAAAATATCTGGAACTCCAAACAAATTTCAACCAAAACCAAAATCACGATTTTCAATACAAATGTCAAGACAGTGTTCTACTGTATGGAGCGGAAACTTGGAGAACTACCAAAGCCATCATCCAGAAGATACAAGCATTGATTAACAGTTGTCTACGCAAAATACTTCGGATTCGTTGGCCAGACACGATCAGCAACAACGTACTGTGGGAGAGAACAAACCAGATTCAAGTGGAGGCGGAAATCAGGAAGAAGTGGATAGGACACACACTACGAAAAGCACCTAACTGCTTCACAAGACAAGCCCTCACATGGAACCATCAAGGCAAAAGGAAAAGAGGAAGGCTAAGGAGCACATTACGCCGAGAAATAGAGAAAGACATGAGAAGAATGAACGAAAACTGGAAAGAACTATAAAGGGAAGCCCAGAACAGAGTTGGTTGGAGAAAACTGGTGGGCGGCCTATTCTCCACTGGAGGTAACAGGCGTAAGTAAGTAAGTACTATGATAAAGTATACTATCTTTACATGAAATAATCTTCATTTCGAGTTATTGTAAATATTTCCTTACAAAAAGTATGTAGTGTTTTGCTTGATTTTACACTTCCATGGCCAGTTTGTTGCTGATACTCAGGACTAAATTCACTAGGTCTTTCTTTGGCATACGTTCCATGATACTGCCTAGTTTTGTAATTTGACTGCATTTTGAGGAGTGACTAGTAAAGAAATCCAATTATTGTTATTTATTAATCAAGTGTTCCGCTTCTTGTGTCAGAAGTGATGAGGACTGAGTTTGAATCTCAGTGTGGATATCAATACTCAGATTAAGATGCATCCAGCTAGCGAGTCCAAAACAGGCAGAAACACATATGCTATTTACTGTTTAAATTAAAACTAAGTTACCAAATAAACGGGTAAGCATCACAAGAGATAAAAAATTCTACACATAACAAATATGCAGTTAACAAAAGGATGATTGGATTAGGCTATTTTGTCCACTACATTACTGTCATCTATTTCAAGGAATAGTATTAAGATGGAAGATTCACAGTGTTCGGGGATGTTTCACACTATGGACTGAGAGAAACAGCAAAAAACAGAAATCAGTAGGCAGTTTTTTTATTCTATGAGACTCCTTAGCGTTACATATTCATTAAATTGCCAGGAGCTGAACCTGGAGGCCTTAGTTCTCGTTACCATCGTAATGTTGTGAAACCATTGAGTTAAAATTCAGTGGTTAAAATCTTCAACCTTCAGTTAATTAGCTCTGTTACATGACAGTCATCCACTGCAACGAACCGCTACGGTTAGAAATCCCTCTTGAAGTTAGTCAATAATAAGCTGAGTTATTTTCAGGACAGGATACTTATGAACGAAACAGACATCCAGTATTCTGTGGCTTTGAAAGGTTTCCCAGTTGATATTATTCTGTAGTGTAAGTTGTCTATATAAATAATGATTAACTGAGTAGTCTTGGTTGTGAATAAAATTTTGAATATATATACATATAACTTTTTTATTTCATAATAAAATTCATTTCCATTTCAGTTAAAATCAAATTTTACAATTCCCTAATGAATTTTTAAGCTTTTACATAAAATTATTTTAAACTAGTCGACAAAAATTGTTTGGACTAACTCTTTGTTTCATAGTTTTATTGGATATAATCAAACTTACTGATAATTATAGGTAATTAAATGAATTATTCATACAAACCAGTCAAAGTGATCCTGCGTAATTTTAATTTTCTATACTTTTTACCAATAGGAAGTAAATTACTTTTTACATTTAAAGTTTATTCATAGGCAGATTCCAATTTGTGCTATGGGCAAAGTGTTTGGCACATTTTGTGATTGTTAAAGGGATGTAATTAGTACTAATTAACAGATGCTGCACAATGATACAGTTCGACTAACTAATAACAGAAACAGAATTATTGATCAAGACGCTCAACGGAAGTGATGTCACAAAACCAACTATATAATTCTCTTACGAAAGGAGATAACCTCTAGTAAGTAGTAAACAATGTATAAGTTTCCATCTCCAAAATATCACTTTCTAAAGTACTAATTGATCGAAGCTTCATATGTAACAGACGTCATTTATTTTAAATTTTAGCCTACGGTAAAAAAAAATTAATGCCTGACAGCACCATTTACGTAACTGCTTTCATCTTATTTACATGAAACTAGAGCACTTTATAATGAAGTCAATATTACAACTCCTTATTTAAAACAGATATTGATCTGACGAAAAGAATAGGTTTAGGAGAAGCTTGGAGTTAGAAGTCAGTGAATTGACAAATCGCGAACGGAACAATTTAATCGGTCGTAACTGAGAATATCTGAGAAAAGAAACCATTACCCACAAACTAACTAAACGAACTGGGGAAATAAGGCTGTAAAAAACAGCTTAAAGTTTCTATGGGCCTACCCATTAGTTAAGAGCAAATGAAATCCCGCTTAAAGTAGGAGTGTTCCAAAATAAGACCTTGTTGATCAAACTGTTTAAAGTCTATTAGTTTTTTTTCAATTATGTCTGCCATACGATTCTGCAATACCAAATTTTAGAATCTACTCCCATCATTTAAAAGGGTCATAATCTTGTTTACATCAGCATTTCTTCCCCACATACTAACATTCTTCAATGGGAAACAGTGGATTTTATTCGCATTTAACAAAGAATGAGAAGTCTAGAAACACTATTTCTTGTTTTTGAAATAGCAGAGTTAATTCTCAGGTGTAAAATGAATATTCATCTTCGATTCAAGTTATAATTATTTTATTCAAACATAAAATTCGTTTCAAATCTCAAACAATCATTACATAGAATAAAAAACATATTGTACATATAGAAAGAAAAAAATTTTTCAAATACAAATCATATCACAGCAGCATTTCATGCAACAGTTTACGATAAAAGTCCTAAATAAATTGATCTTGGATATTTTGTCTTCAATTCTGGCCACTGAACAATTATATCTACCAAACGAGTATAGTATAAAATTTTCCCAGATAATGACAACGTTTTGGTACGACAAATACTTTCAACAAAAATTATAAGAGTTGAATGAATTCTCAGTATCTGTTGATCAGAAAAAGAGAAAAGCAGCAAATAGTATATAAAAAAATGACATAAGCAAATTAGAGTTTTCTTTGACGAATATTAAATTAAACGTGAGAAGAGCTATAGTGATGTTATAAATTTTGAATTTTTTTGTGATTCTTTTAATAGACTAGTGTGGTAAAACAATAGCTCACGACAAGGTTGTCTATGCGTCGCTAATTTATTGAGTGACACATCAGTCATGAAGTTAGCAAAAGAGAAATTTAAAAAACAAAATAACAACAGCAGTAACAAAAAACAGAGTACTTTCTTAAATTTTTGATCTAATTCTGAGCTTTTGCGGTGCTACAACTTGAAGTGAAATATTTCGTGACGCTACATTTTAAAACTTCTAATGAAAAATACCCTAGTAAAATTGATATAAACTAAATAGCATCTATTACCGTATTCAAGAAATGTATTTCCAGAGTAAGGATTCTGAACTGCAACATGGCTATTCAACTGAACTCACTTGGTATGGCAACTTGAACTGATGTATGTATGTACGAAGTTCTACGTTGTAACTGACTAACTGAACTTACTAAATCAGTTTTAAGAATATAACCCAGTGCATACATTCTGTGAAAATTAGATCGATGGATACCATCAATTAAAACTTTTGGTCTTTAATAAGGTAAGAAAATTCGGACTTCTCAATTAGTTTCTAGTTGACAGTTTTGTTAGTGGGTGAATGTTTCATTGTTCAACTCCGCCTGTAGACCCTTCGAGGCTACTGCCGGTCCCAAGACCGGATAAAGGAGGAGGGTGGGGATTGGAATTGGCGACCCCACCACGGAAAAAACTAAGTTGCCAAAAAAACGCTAACAAGAAAAAATAATCCAAACAATATAAACTCTGCTCTGAGAGTTAGGTCTTTATTTAGAAAGCCGAGTTCCCTCGGAAGTCATGAGGCCGATTCCCCATCTGATAACCAGAACCCTTCCACGGTGTGGCAGCCGGGAAGTAACATCCGCCTTTATACCCATAAAAGCACACGAGACCGAATCAGTCATAATCAAATCCTTTCTACAGCTAATAACTCTCTTATTTCCTCGACCAACCCTTCTTTCGATCGTTTGTCGTCTCGCGCCGCCGAAGCAAACGGTTTCAGATCACGAAACATTATTCCTGGTCTCCTAAAACCCCGTACTAAATTACATATTGCTTTTAATGTTCAAACTACGTGCCAGATAAAGCAACAGGCTTCCTTAGCTAGAACTCTGGAATCTCGGGCGGTCAATGTATGTTGTGTCTCCGAAACGTGCATACAAGATCTGAGTAAAATCATCAATTTGATTTCACTTAGTGCAGATAGAGAAACAACACGCTTTACCCCTCGTGTTTCTAGTAGCCCTGATGCTGCTTCTCGTGACCTCGCTGGGGTAGGTTTAGTATTAAGTCCTAGGGCAGAACAAGTTTTCTAAGACTGGATGCCGGTAGACAGTCACTTATGCGCCGTCCGACAAAACGGGACGGTACGTACTCGTAAAGATAGGGACACACGCCGTTGCCTCTTCGTCATATCTACCTACGCGCACACAGACTGCATTTCGGACGAGGTGAAAGATGAGTTCTACAAAAAGACTTCCGGATCTCCTCAAAAAAGTTGGGCGCTCTGATATAGTAATAATGGCTGGTGACTTCAGTGCTTAAGTATGTAGACTAGGTGAGAAGGAAAGACACTTGGTTGGATTTTATGGTGTCGCGGATAATCGAACGGATAATGGCGACCGTCTGCTGTAGCTGTGCTCAGATAACCGCCTATTTCTACAAAACCACTAACTTCAGGCATAAGCGAAAATATCTGACCTGGTGACCCCCAAAGCCGACCCAACGATGGACCCAGTTAGATCACATCGCTATAAGCCATTAGTGGAGAGGCTCTGTTGAAGACTGTCGCCCATTCTGGAGCACTTGTTTAGACTCAGATCATGCTCTAGTGCGAGCGCGTATTTGTCTGCGTCTTACTGGATGTAAAGAAAATATGGCAAGGAAACCTCTTAGGGCTCTACTTAATAATAATAAAGCTAAGAATATATTTCAGTAACAACTAGGAAAACAGTTAGGCGATCATGTAAAAGATTCCTATCGGGAAGCAGGCTGGAATGATATCAAAAAGGCTGTGGAAACGGCAGTGATATCTGCTAGTAAGGTAAACCATAAGTCTAGGAAGAAGCCATGGATCTCAGTAGCATCTACCGAACTGATGGATGCTCGAAAACTCATTCCGCCTGGCTCTGAGTGCGATGAGTAGCGGAGTTAGCTTAGGCGCAGGCTGATAAAAAGCCTACTCAATGATCGAGAACAGTGGTGGGTAGCGAAAGTGAGAGAGATGTAAAAGGTAGCGGCAACAGGCAGTAGTAGGCAACTATTCAGACTCACCAAGGAAACAGGTATTAGTTTCATTGAGCGGTCCATTTTCTAGCTTTGCTAGAAAGAGATCAGCTAGAATTGGGCCAAGAGGTGGACCCATGGCTATACCGTCTATTTGTCTATAATAATTGTTGTTAAATACGAAATGGACGTTCATCGTACATCTTAGGAGTAATTCTTTAAGGCAATCTTCGGGCAAGCTAGTATTGATTTGTTTCTCCTTAATATATAGTTTACCAAAAGTTAATAAATCGATCTTAGGTAGAATCTGGGAACTGGACGTAATCTCATCCGAATGTTCTCAATCAGTGATTGTTTTAATTAATAAGAAAGGACAGGAGTCTTCTTGTGATAATCACAGAGGAATCAGTCGAACTAATTAAGTTTCAAAACTGTTAGTCTCGATTATCCCTAGACTTCTCATTAGAGCTCGTGAAGAGCAGACTAGAGAAAACCAGACTGGTTTCAGACCTGGACGTGGCTGTATAGATCACATCTTCACACTACGACAGGTCACTGACAAGTGAACTGAGTCATGTCGGTAGGTGTCGATTACCTGGTTGGTGTTCGCGAGATTATAGTAGTCGACGGTTAGAGACCCTGAATGACATGGCCCAAAACCGTTTGCAATGACGCAGGTGCATTTATTCATTGTGTCCTCTTAAATCCCAACCTTCGGAGTTCCTCATAACTTTATCTTTTTCTTTTTAAGATTATTTCACTAATGCTTCGACTACCTCTACTATTATGGGATTTGAATTGACAATTGCGTCTCTGTGCGAATGTGGTATGGCAACCTGGACTGATGTACTTACGTACGACGTTCTACGTTGTAACTGACTGACTGATCTAAAAAAAGCATGGACTTGTTATTCTTGAATATCTAGCTTCTAATCAGTAATATTTTGCAAACTACCTGAGATTAAGCTCTATAATTTTGAATCTACCAGGTCGTAACAAAGTTATTAAGATTCTTAAAATTGAGTTGTAAAGAAGACTAGATCCCTGTGACAGTTATCAACATTACAAATTATCATAATAAACAATAATATAGAGATTCGAGAAATAGCAAGTGTAGACCATAATAAAGTGATTTAAAGTTAATCACAATAGCATAGTTTGTTTTTAATTTAATATACAAATCCAATGTACATGGATAGAAAGTAAGTTTAAGTGCTCAGTGTAATACAGCTATTAGAAATAAAAAAAATTGTCGCTATTACGATGCGTCATAATTATTAACAGATAATACTTTACAACAATGTATTAATCTTACATTGAGTAAAAGGGCCACGAAGCATATGGGGATGCATGTCCCAGGACCATTGCACAAAATCTATTAAGTATTGAATATTTCAATGTTATTATAACAATAATATTTGAGTTTCAAGATGAATAAATAAGGATAAAACCGACAACTAAAAATCCCCTCCGTAAAAAAATACAGGTCAGTCACATATTATAAGTTTCCGTATTGCTTTTACATTAACTTACGCAGTAATTATTGGTCTATTGTCATAACAGAGATAACTGACTACACTAAGTAACCACATAGTTTGAAAGTCATAATTATGTGGAAGTTTAACATGGTCCAGACTGCCATTGATAACTCATTTAGCTGCTAACTTAAGGTAACAGTTCAGTTCTCTTTCTTTAATGATCGATTTCACTGAGTTGGTAGAAAAAATTATCAGTAGAGGTTCCCGTACATCAAAAGTAATGAACGAGAGGCGGAATAGTACGGGAGAAGTAGTGAAATTTCGTAAAAGTGATATGTAACGTTGCCCGTTTGTTGATGTCAATATCCAAAATATAAAAATGAAAATTGGATTACTTATTACTCATTGACTAATACACGCTAAACGACCCCTCATCTTATGACTTCTACGTAAATGTGACTATAGGTTGTAAGCAGTCAGTCATATCATATATAAGACAACACAGTAAGGCGATAGATTCATCAAACACGCTCAAAAACTCAGTAATATTAATTTTGTCTTTCTAATTAGTCTGTTACAAGTACAATCTAGGAAACCATGTATTAAACGTCGCCAAAGAAACTCAGTGGCTAAATGCTGTTTTTCAACCTATACATACACTTCGAAATAGGATTGAAATTAAGTACCAACTGGAGGGTACTACACATTTTTGCCTTTCATAAAGAGATTAATATGCACCAAAATCAATAGCTTATTTATACAGGTGTTTATATCTATCCTTCCAAAATTCCTGAATAAGTTGATTTGGGAACAGTGAAACTACTTTGTGAGCAGCCTTATTTTTCACGTGAAACAACCAATGAACTGATGTTTATCAAATCGACATTCTACAAAAATTGTAAATCTAGAAGGCATAAAGCGAGTGGATGTACAATTAAATACAATGCCTTAACACTGATGTAAAGATGGGAAACATCAGTCACTCATGATGAATTAGTGACTTGAGATTACTGCTCCGATTACTGATAATACTTCTACTACCTATACTACTATGGGATTTGAATTGACAATTGAGTCTCAGTGCTACTGTGGTATGGCAACCTGAACTAATTAATGTACGTAGGTACGAAGTTCTACGCTCTAAATGATTGACCTGTGATGCATATTTTTCCGATAATATTCAGTAACTAAATCTTGCCGTTAGCAATCCCAATCTCTTGACTTTATGGGAAATTCCACTAATTTTGGGGAAGCTCCCATAATGAAATTTGGAAAAGTTTTGAGGAAATACTACTAAACACCCGAAAATCTCCACTGACTGGGAAGATCGGAACATTTTAAGGGAAAACCCAGAACTTAAATAAACTTTGGGGAAAGCTGTTGAACGGCATTGAGAATACACCAAAATTTGTTACTTTGGAGAAGCCGAAAATCTCTCAAATGTATGTGAGGATTATATGCATTGAATTTATCATTACCCAGACCTTCCGCAATATATAAAGCTTTCTGCCTTTTATTTGCAGTGGCTTTCGAAAACTTCAGGTAATTGTAAAACTATTTCACAATTGCTCACCCACCTTTATAAATGGGGTGATCGGCCTAACTCTCAAAAGCGTTCTTTATGGAAGTAAACGATTCTTAGAGGACAGTAACGTGTGACAACCTGCAGTATAAAACGTTACTTTTAATCCTCGCAGTTGCGAAAACTGTTATGTTGTAAAGGTTTTATACATTACCGCTGGACTATGAAGAAGGGTTTTTCCCCAGAATTTTGTTAAAATTTCGGTTTGTATAGAATATCATATGCAAATATTAATTAATTTCTCCGCAACTCACTAATTTTGGCCGAAAAAAAGTGACGATCGGGAACGCGGACAAGCAAGACATCAGGGTACTGAAGACACTACTGATATAGGACTGCTTTACTTCTCGAGCTCTTCGTACGTACTTTATGCTGAACTAAGGATTTATAACACAAAACGGTAACCAACCTCAACACCACTCTTGTTCTCTAAATCCATGACCTTCTGTTCACTCATGGAGTCAGAAGCCGCAACAACATATAGACGCGGTTGATATTTACGACTTATTACAGGAATATACGAAAGCATTTCGGCAGTATGTCCACCTAACATAAAGTATGGTATAAGCATTACCAGATCCTAAGACAATCATAACCCGAGTCATCTCTGGATCATCATATTTAGCCTTGACATAGAAATACACATATGCAATCGCCCAAAAAATTGGTATCATCCAGAAAATCTGTCAATGGTTAACTAGCAAAAACGACCTACCATTTCTCATAGACAAACAAATACGTTGCGAACGACCTAGCAGCATCATCCATCAATGTAGGTGGCTGAGCACTAGAAGGTCACATCATTATAAAAAGATTGGTGCGTCCCATCGAAATTTCATAAGCTTTTCAAAAGGCGCTTAAATTAAGACAATTTCGAATTTGGTTTTAGTGCTAGCCCAGATAAATTTCATCCCTCAAGTAGTGAAAGTGATGCCATCGTGGTGATGCATGATATAAGAAAAATATTCAATGCTATCGTGCTGCAGAGCATATTTACTAGCCACTCGACTGTCTAATTCTAGTCAGTTGGTTGTGAGTTTGTATGTCTCGGGATTTGAATGGAAACGTTTGTTTCAGGGCAGTAGGGTTTCTGGATACCAGCAGCTAACACTATAATAGACCGGAGATCAGTTAGTTGCAATGTGGAGAGTAATAAGGATAAAATTATAATGCTAATATGAATAAAATTTCAGAACTAAGTAATATATAAGTGAATTTAGTTTATTAATTGGTAGTGAAGATTGTGAGAGAGGACCGAAGTGTAAGCAAGGGAGAGGAAGAAGAGATAATAGGTGAGATAGATTAAGTAAGTGATCTGAGGAGATGGCGATGATAACAACTAGCAGGTCTCAAGATATGCATCATGGACAGCTTGTCCAAGAGGGAAATGATAATCCGTATGTGAGTACGTGATTATCAACTCTCTTCTTAAAGCTGTCCACTGATGGGGCTGTAGTCGGCTCGGTTGGGAGAGAATTCCAAGTTGCAACGTCTTTTAGTCCGAAAAAGTGAGCGAAACTTGGTGTTCGCTCTTTGGTACTCAGTTGTTCGGGGATTACTTCGAGGGGTGTGGTAGTGATGCATCGGTAAGATGCTCATATTGGAGCGATTTCGTGCGCTGAATATGTTGTATGCGAAAACCAGATCACCTCTGATCCTACTGTAATTCGGGGAGAATAATGCCAAATACTGGAGTCTATTCTCTTAAGTTTCATCTTTCAACCCTATCACCCATTTGGTTGCTCGTCTCTGCACTCGATCCATGAAATTTGTGTCTTTTAAGGAGAAGGGGTTTGACGACACTATAAACCTCGAATTGTGGGTGCGCATATGTTTTAAACAACGTTCAGAATAATTCTGGGGTGATAGCACTAAGTTGTTTGAGCATGAAGTATAACTATAAGTATAACTATCCCATACTATGAGTAGGTTGAGTGCGTACGACCTGCCTTTGCGAAACCCATGTTGAGCTTCAAGGATTATTTTGTTTTTATCCATGTATTCTCTCGTTTATTCGTTCACCAACCCTTCCGTTGCCTTCGTTAGTATTTGTAGTAATGCGACTGGTCTGTAATAGGCTGGGCACTTTTTATTTCCTCCTTCGAAGATTGTAGGGAGAAGCTTGTTTCCATAGCCCTAGGAGTCGGTGTAACTCCAGTGAATGCCTCAACAGGTCAGAAACTGGTAAGCTGAGGGCTTCTGCACACGGTTTTAAGACTATGGGGCCAATAATGTCACATCCTTATGACTTTACTGGGACGTCTAGACCTCTGTTTGTATCCAAATGGCACAACGTTGTCCAAAGTTTTGGGTAAAAAATTGGTTAAATCTGTCATAAATTCCAGATTCCTAGGTCACTTCAAACACTTTTGAACGGGTTTACAAATTCTTCGGCCAAGACTGTGGCTGTCAATGTCAGGTTCGACGGCGAATGATGGTCTACTGGAGGAGCTCATTACTAATTACCTTCACGTCCATGTTTTCAGTAAATAATTATAAAAATTTATTCTAAAATAACAACATGTTACAAGCGGCATGCCAATTTACAGGCAAGATCAAAATTCTAAAATTTTCTGTAAACAGTTGTTCAGCGACTTATATGTTTCATATGATACGTTGTCTTCATATAGATGGCTAAAAGTTTCCACATAAAATTATGGTTAATTTTTCAGACTCTCCAATGTACGATTCAAATAATTGGCGCGATTTACGACGGTTGCATTACGACGAACAGCTAATTACTGCGAAACAATCCAAGGTAAACCGTGGTCTACAAATAACAAGAATTGGTGAGGTCAATGTGCAAATTTACAGGCTCGTGAGTAAATCAACCAAGTCTTCGGCAAATATCCAGACTATTTGAGGATTAGAATAAGGTGCTGAGAAGGAGAAATAAAGAGATAGGGGCGAGGAGCAGGACTGACGGTCATCTTTTTTAAAACCAAAGAATGACTCAGCAGATACTTTTTTGGATAAAAAAAGGTGTGATTACTCAGACTTTTTTACATATGAACACTAACTGTACACCAGCACTTATGTAGGTTAATGAAGACAATTCATTTGTGAGATAACGAATGGGCAATTAATCGAATGAATAGAGGAAATTCAGAAGCACTGAATTGTTAGCAATAATGTTGATTTACAGAATATAATAATAAAGCACAGTGATCTGATGCTTTTTTGATATTTTATTTATCCTGTTTCTTTTTAACTCTGTAACTTAAGAAGTCATGTGTGAGCCCTATACAAAACAGTTGTCTAGATCTGCTTGCGATAGGATTTATTGGTAGGAAGTTGAAACCAGTGTAAGGTTACCAACAGGCCATTAATCTCAACCGTTCATGTTTTTAAGTCACTTGAAGATGTATCTGCTCAATTTATGTATAAACGATGATAACAAAGAAGCTATATCTTCAGAATCTATTGATTTGATTAATCATAGTTATGCTTCTGGATAATAAGTTACTTGGAATGGTAATTTTCATTTTCATCAACTTGTTCTCACAGCGTCATGCTAGGGTGAGCGTACAGTCCAGTCTTGCGTTACTACGTGGTTATGTAAGATGGTGGCTATATTTCGTGTCTACTGATGGTAGAAACGGATTTACCGGTCGATCTACATGTGATCAGTCATGCATACGTTTACCTAAGTACTGCAATAACTATTTATAAGCACCTTGCATCTGCTGAGCAAAATTCGCTACAATTAAATTGCTTATAAATTTCGCAGCAGTTAGTACTTATAGGCGAGTTGATTTTGTCAAGCTTGACTTTCACTATGCTCAAGTAAAATCAAATATATCTGACAGTAATTCGCTCGTATCAGATTAAAATAGTAGTTCTAAATTTAATTTATTTGTTGCAAGTTAATCGGAACCACCTGAGAGCTTGTATCGTATAGACCGGCTGGAATCAACTACATAAATCATCTCATGTGTCGCATTATCATAAAAAGGTGGTTTCAGAATTCTGTCGATAATAATTATGTGACTTTACGTCAGGGGTCACTGTGCCCATTTATTCTTCTCTGTAGGTCATCCACTATGCGCAAATAGAAACCTATTTTATTCACCACATTCCATGTTCGTGCAATGAGTTTGGAATAATATTTTTTCACGTGATTAGTTAATAAGACTCAAACATTTACTAACTTTGTCCATAACAATTCACATTGGTATATATATATATATATATATATATATATATATATATGTACCGGCTGTTTCATTCTGATAAAGTGGTTCACCAAGTAAACTGGACTAACGATCGCATATTTTCAGTATTATGACGGTTTATGCTGCCTCAAACATATCGGAAGATATCGCAAGATGTTCAGCAATCGTATTCGCTGGGACTTCTATGAACAAAAATGGAGTACCGTCAGGATTATTTAACTTATCTGCACTGAGAAGTTGAGAGAACCATTAAATAACTCATTTGTCAATAACCAAAGGATTAGTCTGCAAGCCATCATAACTAAAAGCTGAAAAGTAATCCCAAATGTTTTACTGGACAGCACTGTTACTTATTTTTCGCCCGGTTTTGTATTTTAACCTTTGTCTATGAGTGGTGACCACGTTTTATTTTTTTCCAGTCCGCTTTGTCCAGATCTTCAGTAGTTGATATCCGCTAATGTTCACCATTGTATTTCTTTCCATCTTAGAATTTAACCTAATTAACCTAGCATAAAGTTAGTTTTTTGATATAATTTAATGTGGGTCACTCAAAAAGCTTTGCACGCCCAACGGAAGAAAGTTACATCTAATTGGACAAATGTGTGTTCGTTAGGGCTACTTTCTGGCAAAAATCGTTACAGTTAGTGATAAGACTTTCACAAAAGTAGGTAAGATACATCTTAATGAGACATACTGATGAAGCTTCAGCTTTTGCTAAACGATCTCGATCCAGTATCAGCGAATTTGCTGATACCAGAATTGGCCGGATCCCATCATCTCATCCGTTTTCGGATTACTGTCAATATATTTTCAAAAGAAACTTTAGCCTTACCCACCAGCTCTTCACATGCACTTCGCGTCCCACATGCATGTGGATCTTTTCTCATCTGTTATACCATGCGCTTTTTAAACTTTCTCACAAACTCCAACATGGCTCTTATCTCTGCACGTATTTGTGTCAGCAGATCTTCATACTGCTGTCACTGTAACCATCAACGCTTAGGTAAAAACAAATGTACGACACAATTCATGCACAGGACGCATTTTTAAACCCTTACAGATTTAAAACAGAAAATAAAGCAAGCGGTAGAGGTTTTTGGTGCATATTTCACTGATTCTCAATGTTCACTGAGTAATTGTTGTTTCATAATTACAGTCTGTGCCTTAGATATTAGAAAGTCGAATACTGAGCTCATTTCCTGGAAACATTTCTGCTGATCTGGCTACAGTCTGTCAAGTTCTTATGACCATCTTTAAATGCTAAATATCATCGTTTAAAACAATTTGATAGAGTTATGGTTTCAGCAACAAGCGAAACCCTAGTGCTTGGCCTGAAAGAACGAAATAATGAATAAAGGTTCATTTAGTTAGAACAAACTACGTTCTTCTGCATAAGATACTAGGCATTTTCTAGTTGTGCGTATTAAAGTATATCATAAAACATAATTTTCCTTCAATGTAGATATGTACATAGATATAAAATACCAAAGTTGCGAAGCATCTCAGACAGTATGGTCAAAAATGTCGATAGCACAAGATATCATGCCAAATAGCAAAAGAAACAGTTGCTGAGTAAAATATTCGGTACCTGAGAGCCAGATGTAGTAGTACCCACAAAGTTGGACGGAGTATCTGTCTGCAGAGATTATAGTGACCGTTTCCGGCAGGCAACTAGCGGTCAACAATGAATAACCGCTTCATACTGTTACTTTGATATTGATAACACCAGACTTTATTGCCAACAACCTACATTACTCGATATAAC